TCCACGGGCATATCTCAGGAGCGTTTTGCTGATTCGTGCTTGATTCTCAGTTTAAACAAAATGAAGACGCCTGGATGCTCGCAGCGAATATCCTCCAAGAATCCTCATATCCACAAACTAAATGTACGATACTAAATAATGTGTATCTCGAAACTTGTGGGATACTGACTGTGCTTAGATCTTGCTCTTCAAGTCCTCGATGATGTGATCATGACACGATGGAAGGTTCTGCCGAGAGAGCAGTGCCTAGGTAAAGACCGTGCCATGAAGATGCATAGGGAACTATCTGACTTTTACTAGGCATCCGAAATTTTATCGTCCAGTTCATCCTTGATAACTCCGAAACAGAGGAAAAGCTGAGAAGCCAACGCGTTTTCTTGAACAAACTTAACCTGGTGCTAGTTTCGATCTTGAAGCAAGAATGGCCGCACAACTGGCCAACATTCATAAACGATATCATTTCATCGTGCCACTCGAGCCTATCAGTTTGCGAAAACAACATGACCATTCTCCGCTTGTTGTCTGAGGAGGTTTTCGATTTTTCTCAGGACCAAATGACTTCTGTGAAAGCGAGGAACCTGAAGACCTCTATGACTCACGAATTCTCCTCCATCTTCCAGTTGTGTTCCCAAGTGTTGGATAACGCGAACCAGACGACTTTGATTAAAGCTACACTGGAGACCCTCCTTCGGTTTTTGAACTGGATTCCGCTCGGATACATTTTCGAAACGTCCATAATTAATACCCTTTTGACCCGCTTTCTGGGCAATGCAGAGTACCGCAATGTAACTCTTAAATGCCTTACAGAGATCGGTGGGCTGCAGATCGGCAACCCTTATAATTACGATGATCAGTTGGTCCGTATGTTCACTGAGACCTTAACGATTGTCTCCACAATCATACCTCTCTCGATGGATTTGAAGTCAACATATTCCAAGAGCAATTCGCGAGATCAGGAGTTCGTTCTCAATCTGGCTCTTTTCCTCTGCAGCTTCTTTAGTGCTCATCTCAATGTAAGTTCCCACTACATCCGTCGGTTTCTTCCCCAGGCACTGATATTCTTGCCATGTTAAGCTTGTTGAGACCCTTCCAAATCGTGACTACCTCACCCACGCTCATTTCTACCTGATCCGTATCAGTCAAATCGATGACAGAGAGGTGTTCAAAATCTGCTTGGAATATTGGACAAAACTGGTGCAAGAGCTTTATGAGGAGATGCAACAGCTTCCAATCACCGACATCAATCCACTGGTGAGCATGGGTGTAAGCGGGCTGTCAAACGGAGGCGCGCCGCATCCCAGCACCTTAGCCAATTACACCCTTCGCAAACACAAATACGAGGAGGTTCTTTCCAGCCTACGTACCGTCATGATTGAGAAGATTGTTCGGCCCGAAGAAGTTCTCATTGTCGAGAACGACGAGGGCGAGATCGTTCGCGAATTTGTCAAGGAGAGCGATACTATCCAGCTCTACAAGACAATTCGCGAATGCCTGGTTTATCTCACTCATCTGGACGTTGTCGACACAGAAAACATCATGATCGAGAAGCTGGCTAAGCAGGTTGACGGGTCCGAGTGGTCTTGGAATAATTGTAATACTCTCTGCTGGGCAATTGGGTCAATCTCCGGGGCGATGAACGAAGAGACGGAGAAGAGATTCTTGGTCAATGTCATCAAGGATTTACTTGGCCTGACCGAGATGAAGCGCGGAAAGGACAACAAAGCCGTCGTCGCTAGTAACATCATGTATATTGTGGGACAGTACCCCAGATTCCTGAAGGCGCACTGGAAGTTCTTGAAGACGGTGGTTAACAAGCTGTTCGAATTCATGCATGAAACACACGAAGGCAAGTTTGTCTACTCCCAGCATGGAGCGTTCCTTCTAACAGCGTGCAGGTGTTCAGGATATGGCTTGCGACACTTTCATCAAGATTGCCAACAAATGTCGACGACACTTCGTTGCGCTCCAGCCAGGCGAGAACGAACCTTTTATCGAGGAGATAGTCCGCAATATGAGAAAAATTACCTGCGACCTCTCACCACAGCAGGTTCATACTTTCTACGAGGCTTGCGGTTATATGATCTCCGCCCAGGGCCAGAAAAGCTTACAGGACCGATTGATTGAGAATCTCATGTCGTTGCCCAATATTGCTTGGGATTCCATCATTGGACAAGCCACTCAAAATCCTAAAATCTTGGAGGATGGTGACACAATCAAGATCGTTGGCAATATCATGAAAACAAATGTGGCTGCGTGCTCTTCGATCGGAACATACTTCTATTCCCAACTCGGACGGATTTATCATGATATGTTAAACATGTACCGGGCGTCCAGTCAACTCATCAACAATGCTGTTGCGCAAGATGGTAATAACCCACACCATTTATCTATTCTTTCATCTTTTTCGTCTTTATTGCCCACTGGCAATTTTGCCCTGTTTATCTTTGTGGTGCATACCTCTGACGTACTTTTTAGGTGAAATTGCCACCAAGACGCCCAAAGTCAGAGGGCTCAGAACAATCAAGAAAGAGATCTTGAAGCTCATAGACACTTACGTGCAAAAAGCCGATGACTTAGAGATGGTGAACGCTAGCATGGTACCACCATTGCTTGAGGCTGTTCTTGTGGATTACAATCATAATGTTCCAGATGCTCGTGAGGCTGAAGTTCTGAGTGTCATGACCACAATCATTCACAAGCTGCACGTATGTCCTAAATTGTTCACTACTACAGATGCTTGTGTATACTAGGAGCTAACAATACCGACAGAACCTCATGGAGGATAAGGTTCCTATGATTATGGAGAGTGTCTTCGAATGCACTTTGGAAATGATCAACAAGGATTACCATGAATACCCAGACCATCGTGTGCAGTTCTTCAAACTGCTACAAGCAATCAATTTATATTGCTTTCCAGCCCTACTCAAGCTGCAGCCTGCGCAGTTCAAGATTGTGATCGATTCCTGCATGTGGGCAAGTAAGCATGTCAACCGCGAAGTCGAAAACACCGGCCTTACAATGTGCCTTGAACTCATAAACAACATGGCGGAAACGGATGTTCAGACGTCGAATGCATTCTTCCAACGGTTCTTCATTCAGATCCTTGGGGATGTGTTCTTTGTACTCAGTGATAGTAACCACAAGGCCGGTACGCATACTTCATTACGCCCATCTCGAAACCATACTCATCCTCTCTGTCTTAGGTTTCAAGTCTCAAGCTATGCTCTTGTCGCGTATGTTCTACTTCATAGAGTCCGGCAAAGTGCAGCAACCTATCTACTCTCCTGGCCAAATGCCCATGGGAACAACCAACAAAGATTTCTTGCAGAGGTATTTGGCGGAAACTCTACACAGTGCATTCAAAAACCTTCAAGAGTATGTACTCCTCGATTGCCTTTGTCTCCGAATCTTTGTACTGACTACTGGATCAGAATCCCGGCCAAACAATTCGTCGCTGGATTATTTACCTACAACGATGATTTCAACAAGTTCAAGACACATCTGCGGGACTTTTTGATTTCTCTGAAAGAAAATCCAGGTGACAACGCCGAACTATATGCAGATGAAAGGGAACAGGAAGCACGAGACGCCAAGGCCGCCGAACGGGACCGTGCATTGAAAGTTGGAGGGCTGTTGAAGCCGTCTGAAATGGACCAGGACGAAGAGATTTGACTAGAGAGAGAACTGCGCGCCGAGGTCTCTCTGTTCTTGGAGTCTGAAAAAGACTCCGAAGCATGCAGTGACATGTTTGATGGCTGGTCGTATTATGGTTTCTGATTTCGACCAGAGCCCAAGGCTTATCGTACCCAATCAAGACTAATTCGCTTGTGGGCAAAGTCATCTTACCACGAATTTCTACTTCCTCTTCTTCATGCTCTACGGTGAATGAATTCTAATCCATCTCATCTCGAGGCTCCCCTGATGTGATTGACATCAGCAATTTATTGATTCTTGTACACATTTGTTCCGTTCAAGCGGAAGCCCAGACGAATATCATTTCTTGTTATTGGCCTGAAAGAGGAAGGTTTTTTTTTTAAAAAGTGTATATCCATTCCTATAGAGGTGGCTTGTCTTCATTGATATTATCGAGATAGTACTATGATGTGACTAGAGAGAGACTCTGCGACAAGAGTTGAAAGTTTTGTCGTCTCCCCCAACGGCCTGGCCTGAGGCTTGTATGGCAAAGGAGGATGCATCCGAGCTATATCTAGTAAATTAGTATTAGTTGCAATCGATTCGACATGGGTAGGTGAGGCATGACTGAACATCGGATCAAAGAAGCAGGCAGCGCAAGCTAATTGGCAGCCCGTGTATCATTGTACGTAAAATTACCTACTTTTGTGGATTCTTAATATATTGTTTAGTTGATTTGAGACATTGGAGGTTTATTTCCATATGTACCAATATGAGATTACTACTCCATGTATAGGATAACTCCAAATGGCACATCAGTAGTATATTCTTTATATGCAATAGTACGTTGACTATCACATCAGAAATAGGATATAATCTATGTATTTTACCTTGCTCCAAAGTGACTCTGACATCGGACTGCTACTAGAGCCCTCAAGGAGTATTATTCAACTAGAGGAAAAGAACACAATCGAAATGCTTTGAACGATAGGTTCAAGGTTGTCAAGGTACTAAATACAATTTGATATACAAGACAAGTCTGTCCAATCCATCGCGTTGCCTGTCTGCTGTGTACTGAGTGTGTTGACTAACTTAGCGTCACTGACTAACTAACTAAGTTAATTAGTCCAGTTAGTCATAGTTGAGGGTAGTGCTTACTCATCGGTGGGGATTAACTAACTGACCACGTACGTAGTTAATTTGCACCCAGGGCGGCGAGAGCGGGCTCTTCCCGAGGACGGAAGGATTGTGTTAGATTGATAAATGATTGTAGCCCGCTGTGCTTAACTAGTGTTGCAGGATATCTCAACTGTGATGACACTTACCCATCACCTATACCTATTACCGAGAGTTCCCGACTTGCCAGGATGCCTCAAGTTCAACAAACAGCTCCAACGTCAACCAGTGGCTCAAGAACCGAGTCACTAGCGGAGTCCAATGAGGGCCCTTCAACAACCCGTATATCAGCAACTCTGAGACTACGTGCAGAAAGTGCAGAAGACCGTTCCATATCCAATGAGCACGTTGAAATTCGGAATCCAGCTCGGCATATACAGTGGAGAGATGACGTTATCGACAACGAAGGAATGGGAAAGAAAAGCTCCAAAGGTGAGAAAGCATCCGTCCACTCTGAAGCTAAGCCAATGCCTTCCACAACACATCGCTCATCTGTCTCAAGTCTGCTGCATATACCATAAAGCTCGACCTGTCGGTGAAAGTAGCTCAGAATCAGAATCGTCTGATTCCAGTGAGTCCGATTCCGATTCCGATTACGGCGCTGATGATCAGACTCACCGTAACGGCGGGCGGCGGTCTCGTCACCACATGAGCTGTGACCACAACAGCCCTGGACATACATCATCAGAACGGACTTCCGATACCGAAAAGATAAGACGAAGAAAATTTAGCCCCAATGCCTACGAGAAGATGCCTAAGACAACAAGGGGTCGCTGAGCATGCTTGAAGCAAAGAATAGATTTCCGTGAAGAACTTGAAGCTCACCGTAATCAAACCCACACGCATGTGTTCGGAATGTTGCATCAAGCTTTATTCAAGCATAGTAACCCAGCCAATCCAGGTACAGCCGTGAAGATCGAATTCACGTCCATAAACCAATTGATCTATACGAGCCAGCGTGGCCTAGCTTCGAAAGTGGCGCGTTGCGATCCATGCGAAAGAGAGCCCCACTCATCCCTTATGACGTTGCTCATCTCAACACATACGCCATACTCTCATACGTTTTGTTTGAAGCCTCAAGACCTAGACTCATGATGGCGCGCAATGTCTCCCATTCCATAGCTTCTCAGGCAGTTATGACCTGACATGAACCCAGTCTAATTATTGATATTATGTACATAGTATTGCTTGGTTGGTAGGGCTGCGAAACATCTACAGCATCATACTCCTTCTCGCGGCGGCACGCAGGGATCGGCCAGCTTGCTTTGTCTCTGTTGAGACGGACTTAGTCGAAGAAATCTGAAATATTTCTGCTGAAGCGCGCCTGTCGTGATCCGGTTGCTCAAGTCTCTCGTTGACTTTGATAGGCGATACTTTGAAAAGACTCGGTGTGATATCTCGGGAATCCTGGACCGCCTCGTCTGGCTTGAGTGTGTCTTGTTCGGAGGCTTTTAGGCTCGATGAGCGCCGTTTCGATTGTCTAGTAGTAGCTGGCTGTGGCTTGTGTGCACGCGATATTGTCTTTGCCATACTGTCACAGGCGGCCTCTGTTAATCGCGTGCTGAGACCTTCGTCTGAACTATTCTTGATTGAGAGTGCAGCAGTGTATTGGCCTTCCGGCTCATGTTCTTGATACCCGAGATCGGTCAACGGATAATCAGAACGCTCACAACTCCCCTCGGCTGTCTCGCGAGTCGTTGCATGGTCGTATCTGCTTGCGAGAGAGACCTTGCGCTTCCTTTGTGACACCATCTTCAGACTCTTTGAGGGAGATGCCATAGCTGGATTTAAGACAGGTGACGGTGAATCAGTCCCTGTAGTACCGAAAACTTGCGACTTGACGGTGTCCGACTTGCGCCGCCGACACGCATCCCCATCTTCTCCCGTGCTCATAGGGATGTCAATTGTGCTAGAGGTTCTCCGTGTTCGATCTCCCACTGCCGCGACTAACTCGTTCGTCGGCCGGCGCATCTTATCGCGCAGATTAGGCTCTGCATAACTCACAATAGCCCTCTGGCGCCTTGTCGGTCGAGATGACCCAGTGGCACCACCTACTACTGCATCCCTCATATCCGCTCCCGACTTTGGCTGCTCAAGTCGATTAATTTGGGTCAGGGACCCCAGACTCACTGCCTCGTGTGCCATACCGACATTCCTGGCTTCTGCTTTGGAGGTATGGTGCGTCAGCGCTCGGCCGAGCGTTTCACCCTTGTTCTGCGTGTATGATGTGACCTCTACAAGGCCTGGCCCATTCCCCTTATCACCAATTGCTGCTATGACAGCATCTTCACGCGGGAAGTGTGCATCATCGAGCATGGAATCGAAAGCTTTTCTCGGCGAGGGAATGCTGACATTGGTGCTTTCTATACTTCGAATTAGATGTCGACCCGCACAATAAGGATTAAACATTGGCCTTACTTTGTTTCAGTATCCTCCGTCTTGCTTGCTTGACATTTTTATTGCTTTCTTCAAGTGGATGATTGTCTTCCTTAAATGGTGATCTGCCTGATGTTGGGTAAATTGGGTCGACTGCCCCGAGGGGTGAACGAGTTTGCCGATATTCAAAATCGTCGTCCTCATTCGGCGGACTCTCGAATCGATCTTCAATATCTGCCGAGAACTTTCGTTTTGCACCCAGGCTCGGCCCAGATATCGGGTTCTTTCGCACAGGAGCTGCCTCGTAAGCCGCAGGATTATTCTCTGAAATCGTCGCATCAAGTTCGCGTTCCTCTTTTACATGATCCTTTGTGAGTGGAAGGAGCACATCGGCATGGTTTGGATTCATACAACTCTCGAGCGACCTGTTGATTGTGGACTCCTCGTTTGGAGGAATGGAAAAATCTGTATCCATGGTGGCCAGCGCCCGAGTTGCCGGAGACTGGTGATCAATAGCATCACTGTCGAGCACACCTTGTATTTCGTGCGGCCTGTGAGCTGTAAGCATATATACTATGTAGAGACAACTGCATTGTATGCTTACTCCAGCGTCTTTCTTGGGAAATACTTGTCTTCGAGTATCACAGGAAGCTTTCCTTCCTCCTCACAAGCGAAATTCTGCTCCATTTCGGCGGTCTTGCGCTCCCAGTTAAGGGCTGACTGTGATGGCTGCGTCGGGCTCCTGATTTGCGCGGTATTTTGCTTTTTTCTGTAGTCGCGCGGTAGCTCACCCAGCTCAGTTACCAGATTGGTCAATTCCGTCAATTTAGCATCCAGTCTGGACTTGATGTCATAGACCCCGTCCTGGAGTATCTTAACAGCCTGGTATCTTTCTAGCTCCTGATTCAGTGTTATCGCTTGCTCTCGTAGAGAAACATTTTCGGCGAGTAAATGAGAAACCTCCGACTCGAGGCTACGGATGCGGAGGGACTGTATGGAATTGACCCGGGCGATTTCACGGTTCTGCCGCACAAACCGCCTCTTCACTAGTTATCCGTCAGGAGACTTGTCTTTGAGGGAGTTGCAATGTTGGAATCTGCTGTGTGGAACTTACAGCCTTCGATGGACTCCGTCGTTGTTGTTGTCGTTGATTCATTCAATCGAGCCATGCTTGTGTCCTAAACGCAGACAGCGGCAGTTGTATATCCTTCTCAAGCTGTCGCCAAGTTGATTAGCCCTTCACGCGGGTGGATGGAGAGATTTCCGCGATGGGGCCCTTGTCGCCTACAGTAGAATGAGTTGGGCAAGATCCCTCGGAGGATGGTAACAGATAAAACACGATGCGGTTTAGCTTGTTGACAATTGTCCTATTTTGTACTAGTGGTGGCGGCCCCGTCCCGTCCCTCAGATGGCACTTGGCCATCCATGTCCAGTCGACGGCACTGTTCTGGATCATTGCGTACTTATTTGCCTGACACCGCACCTCTGTGACAACAACTCCACATCGCTTGAGACCATACACATGAACTGAGCTTATATTCTCACTTTATCAACTGCAAGCTTTCCGCCCTCCTGTAGGGTAACCAGCGACAGCTCTCTTACTCCTGAATATCTGTTGCTTCAGCTGGCCGCGATGCTACCTTCGAGTACTTTCGCAGCAGCCTCCTTTCGTCCGCCGAATCACTCATCGGCCGTCGCTCAACAACAGTCATCGGCCTTGGCAGCGCGTATAGCTTCAAAGAAGGCCGAGCTAGAAAATCTGAGGCAACTGCGAGACATGAGCTGTGCACTGGCAGAACAGATGCAAGCCCTGGAAATCAAGATTGGAAGTCTTAGAGATGGAACTGAAGGTATGTTCCCAGGCCAGTACATTCGTCTAGCTGCTGCTGAATCTCTCCGCTCTCTATTGTTAGCCGTCGCCTGTGTTCTTGCGAACTGGGACAATGTGCTGAGAGCGATTAGTATGGCCTCGGGTGAGCATTTTGCCTACTCTCCTCGTGTCTCAGTTGTGGTGGATGCATTTTGCTAATATTGCCAACCATAGTGAATCCTGTTAGCCTTGGCTTCGCAAGCAAGAGCGATCCGAACAACCCACAATTACCCGCAACCCTCGTAAGAGTACCAGCTGAGTCTCAAGATGCATCAGGGGACCGGTGATAAACGATCATTGGTAGACATGGCATAAGCCAGCTTTCCATGATTATCAGATCAAGTATGGGCTGCCGTAATCCGGTAGAGAAGGCTCATATGATGAATACGACGAAAGGTGTCTCTGTTGAGCATGGCAGCTCCAGCTCAGGTGTTGCGTTCTGTGACCTCGCGGTCGTTGGGTATACTTGGGGCATGGAGCTATTGAAGCATGCGCTTTCCCACTTCGGGGCAGAGAGCTTAGGCAGTCCTAGCTGAGACTATTCTGAAATTTTCGCTCGGGGCCAAGCCCCGTATACTCTCGTCATGACGCATGGAAGAATGATGGCTTCGGGAGCCATGGGCTTTGTTCATGCTTGGTTCGGATCGTACCGTTCGCGGATTGACCTCCGAGATACTTGTCATGTTTTTTTGCCAATCGGGTACTCAAAAGGTTTGTGTGTCCGCAACAATAACAACGCAGTAGAAGCCAGAGCTTATGATTTTGTATTCTCGAGGTATCAGGTTTTCCGTCAACATTTGCCTGAAAACCTGACTAGATCTTGCCGAAGAGGCTCTTCCTACTCTATCGCCTTCAGTGTTCTAGCCAGTGGCAATCTGAGCAAACAAGACTTTTCTAACTGTTCAACTTGTGAAATAACCGGTGTCTCGTATGGCCCGCAGGCGTGTCACATGTTAAATTGCTGCTGCACCTCTTCCCGCGTCTACTTCCGAATCTGGTGAGGTCCGGAGGTCGGCGTTCATACCTAGCCTAGGCGAAGTTCACAGTGTCGATGTAGTTTGCTTACTACCACCCACTGGCCGCACGGGATCGAGTACGACCCCTTCTGTGCTGCTCAACTTGCCAGCTGCCAATATCATGTGCTGCCCTGTGCCCTACTTGCTGGATATGTATCTGATCGTTGTGGGTCAGCGGCAAATGTTGACAGTGTGATATGCGAATCCTGCGAGCTGGGTGATGGGGTATTCCACAGTGGTAAATTCCTTCGGTGCTTCTGGACTGGAGAAGCAGACCCAATTCATGCTCATTCCCGAGATGGAAGATCACCGGCATGGGAAAAAGAATCATGAATAAGCGCAGTATATATGACCAACCAGGGATTGGGTATATAACAAAGGGGTTGTGGTTTAGTGGTATAATATTCCCTTAGCATGGGAGAGGTCCGGGGTTCGATTCCCCGCAGCTCCAGCTTTTTGTTACCTCATCCAAAGGGATACTCCTATTTATAGTGTATCCGGGCCACGGATGATTCTTTCTCCAATACACCCGTCCAGCGACCTCACAAGCATGAGAGTAACATAACCGTAGAATATAGAAGTCCAGACATCAGGAAATAGTCGTCCAGTAATTCGCGAGCCATGCATGCCACCGCTATGAACACAGAGTCCATAGTCATTACGGAAGGATTCAAAGGGGGTACTGTACAGCAAGCAGGCTTTTTCATTGGCCGAATTAGACACTGCGTTACACAGCAGCCCAAGCCCTCCAACGCTGGGCGGAGCCATGGAAGGGATGATTGATGGTGACACCGGTGGTCTTTCCCATACGGCCGGCTTGGTAATGGAAATACATGTATCTTTGTCAAAACACTTCTTATATTAGGAGTCATTGGAGTCCTTCTGGGATGAAGGTATTGTTATTGATTAGGATTCTATATCAGTGGGTCTTGTTTTTTATCTTTCTATTGGAGTTTATATGGTCGATATTAATGCCAGATTCTTTCAGTATTTATTTTGAAGATAATAGCTAATGGTTATTTAGGCCGAGCTACACAAACATGTAACATGGGTGTATGCTACCTAGACATCTTCGGTACTGATAAACCAAAATAATCAGATTTGCTATAGAGGTGTATGTACAGTGGTAAAAATTGCATAGGCGTCTCTAGAACTTGGTAGTTAACTAGTTGCGCTGAGCAAATCGAAAAAATGGAGCTGCGGGGAATCGAACCCCGGACCTCTCCCATGCTAAGGGAATATTATACCACTAAACCACAGCCCCTTCTACAATCAATCTTTTCTTATTTGACAGTGTGTTGCAAGAAGTACTCAAAATGAGATACCCCCCCCCTTTCGCGGTACAAACAGGGGCTTTGACTTCCGCGAACAGCGTGGGCTTGGAGAGAAACGAGAAATCTAAGAAGTAGCCTCTACATTATCAACGCGCTTTCTCTACAGGCTTTATAGCCAACAGGCGGTCGAGGCAAGTGAGAAACCTGAGGCTCAAATCAATGGCATACCATGCTTTTCATTATACCTGGGCTCGATTTGCCTAGGACTGCACATGAATGCCTAAATATGCACACACGGGATAATGCAAGGTTCGTTTGAATGGGCAAGACAGCTGTCTTTTATTGGGCGCATGCTATAGAGCATTAGATGGCAATTAGAAATCTATGCTGGGTAATGTTTTTTTCCTGAGAAGACCCGAGTCGATCAAATGCCGGCAACCAGGCATGGTCTCGATCAACGAGCCAACGATGCTGCAAGTGCTGCCCTGTTTTTCGGCACAAATCTAACCCTGTACCTTTTGGGTATCGCCACAAGGCTAGTGGGGTCCGAGTTGCCTCTCACAGGATGCCAGTCGACATCATCAACCGGCTCGATTCTGAAGCTATTCAAGGTGCGCATGAAAACCAGATATAGCTCCCGATTCGCAAGGAGAGAGCCCGCACACATACGGTAGCCCATGCCATATGTGAAAATTGGGGCATCTGGTTGCTCCAACCACCGCTCGGGTCGAAAGTTCTCGGGGTCTTTCCAGACTTCGGGGTCTAATTGAAGTTCCATGAAATTAGCCTCTGCCACAATGCAAACTTAGTTATGCGCAGCCACTGACCCATGTTGCAAGCCCAGGAGTTCAAGAAGAAGACGGTGCCCTTTGGAATGACTGTTTTCTTATAAGTTATGTCCCGGATGGATGTTCGAGGAAGTGCAAGCCGGAGGACGGTGAAGTATCTGCATGCAAAAATGATAGTCAGGAGTGTGTATGTCGAGGCCAGGGATGTCCTGTAAATTACCTTAGGCATTCCCTCACAAGAGCAGCGACATAAGCGCATTTCTGATCGTCTCTCGAATCACAAAGCGGCATGTCCTGATCATACAGTTCCTGAATGGCTTTCGCGGCCTTGTCCTGGATATCCGGTCGTTGCGAAAGGAGGCAAAGACTCCATGCCACCAACGTGGTTATAGTATCGAGACCCCCTGATAGCATTGTTAAGCTGATTGAGATGAGCTCATCTGCATCGAGCTTTGCTTCCTTATCAAGGATGACATTCGCCTGTATACAAGAATTGTGTATACCTTTCCTCATTCGCTCATCCAGGTCCCGGTTCAATGCGTTGAGATACCTGTCTCGGCGATCTCTCATTTCCTTAGCCTTTCTAGAGTTCCCACTGAAAGGATTCAACCGCAGAAGAGGGATGTAGTCCTGTAAGTTACCCGTCGTGCTCCTTAACTTGCTGATTTCCTCCTCAACATGAGTGATTTCATTGAACAAGTCTTCCTCCTGGGATGCCACGCGCACTCCCCAGTTAAGGGTCAAGGATAGGCTCAGACTCAATCGTTGAATCATTGCCATGGGATCTACTGGTGTGTTCCCACTGTTTCCATAACGGTTGAGCTCTTCGATGAAGGCTTTGGATTCCACGTCCAAGTGAGAGACGTAGGATTCCACAGAAGGACGATTTAGCGCCGAGGCTGCACCTTTGCGGCGTCTTTTCAATGACTCGCTATAAGGAGAAGTGCCGATAGTTGTGCCTGCTGTATCCGAGACGATCTATACTAACAAGTTAAGCCTGTCCAGTGCAGGAGAGCTAACGAAAACCAGAGAGGGCTGGAGAAGGGGAAGCAGACGGACCCACCTTGTGAAAGGTATAGAACTCTGGTCTTGAGCTCAAGGCCTGTGCATTTTGTCCGAAAATAGTTTTCGCAGCCGCGGCTGAGTTTACAACAACCACGGGAATGTTTCCCAGCTGAATCTGATAGACCGGTCCATATGTTCTAGACCAGATGCGATATTGCTCTGCGGCGTTCTTCCGGATCTGAGCGAGGTTTCCGATAAGTGGTAAGCCACGGGGACCCTTGAGTCCAGGCACTCTTGCAGACGCTCGAGTGAGCTCGTTCAGGATGATAGGCATCGTGAGGATCAACACTGTCAGCGCCCGCAAAGGCGACTGGATAATGCTGTCCAGAAGAGATAATAGGGCTGCTGCAATAGCCATGACGACCAAATATTGATGTAATCAATCCTCACTGTCGGAATGGTTGAAGGGATGATGATTCGACTCAGCTGATGGATTTCGGATCTATTATAACATAGCTGCGCATTGATGGTATTCCACGTGATACTTCCTGCAGTCCCGTCCTCTTCTTCTGGCGAGGAATGTTTCCGTTGTACAGGCTTGCCTACAAAGAAACCAAGGCCAAATCCCTGTGCCAGAGGCTATGGAGGATTTACCCCAGACCGAGAAAAGCCGGGGTAGATCAGCCTAGGGAACTAACAATCGGGTGGCCCAGATTCCGCACTCGGAAATTTTCCGCCCATCCCCAGTGCACATCACTTTGATTTTGCGGGGTTGGGACTTTCTTGCAGTATCGGCAGCTGTCAGTCTGCCACAGACTTTGGCCAAGGCAGACGAGTGACACATAGCACGCGTAGTGGATGGAGGTAACGAGATGGGGAGGTGTAGTCTGCCCGGCTGATCGGCATACGATTCCGAATGAATGAGTGTTAATCCATGATATTATGAGTAGAACGACTCCCGATGTCCAAAACATGTGCATGATGAGCCAACATAATTGCATTCTTCAGATGGGAAAGCACCCCCTCCCCTAATCGATCATTGTCACAGATACAAGTCCACCTGACTGAGAATGCGAATACACATCTAGGCTGGCCGTAGCCGGACCTCAAGATTCGGAACCTTGCCGCGTGAGTTACAGAATGTCATTAATAGGTTTGTAACAAGACTTTCAGCCCGCACAGTAACTATAAACTTCTGGGCTACCGAGGGCTTTGCTCTTAGCGAAGCTTGTACCCCTGGTTGAATACTTATACGTAGAATATTCCTACGTACATCATCTCTGTGATAGGAAGGCTGCCGATTGGAGCATTTCCACATATCGGTTGGACCCGGTCGCCAGGTACAAAGCCGAATGCCTTACGGCCCAAGCCTCAGAGTCCTATTTGCGTTGCTTGCGGTGTCTTAATAATCTGAACGTGAAGATTTCGTCCTTCACGTTCGGCAGGTAGCGAGCTTATTGTTTACTGAAATCGGCTGTGCAGGAGGTCTAGGTGAGTAGGTAGGGCTGAAATACCTCCAAGTAACATTCCCGAGGTGACTAACCGAGTGGGTAGCAGGGGGTTCTCCGAAAAAGGTGAGTTGTTCTTAATGGTTGGCCGAATCTCATCTTCAAAAGACAGAGCAGCATTCAAGCAAGATTTAAGGAGGAGAGACTGACGTCAAAAGTTCAACACCAGCGACCCAGGAACCGACCGTTCACTTGAGAGTGGGGTATTACGCCATTCCGTTCTGTCTACCCTGGAGGCCCCAACAATACGGAGTACTGTACCTTTACCCACCTTCCAGGGTCTGGGTTGGACAAGTGGAGCAGAGAGACATCATCAACCAGAGTAGTATCAGACTAAACGCACCAAGAGTTTTTGAATCTTCCGACTGAGATTTGGGGTGCTCGGTTTTTCTTTTCTTTCTTTTTTCTTTTTTCTTTTCTTTCTTCTTTGTTCTTTCTTTTGTTCTTTCTTTTGTTCTTTTTTTGGTAGCTAGGACCAGAAAGCGGACGGCAGGGACACCGTAGCAATGGATAGATAGCGTATAACAAGCATGGTGGCGATCTGCTGCATGATAATTAGTAGCCATAACGATGATGGTCGGAGTACTATACTCAGGAAGTAGTTGGTCGGGGAAATAATACATCTTATAGTCCTGCCCGATGGGAAGAGCCTCGCTATAAATAAATCCCTATCGATAGGGGGCTTAGCAGTTAGACTACCTACTCATCAGACATACACACCTAGTACTAAACTTATTACTCCGTACGCATACATGTAAATTTATTGAGAGACTAGACAAATTAATCAATAATTCTCCATAGTCCTATTCGGCAATGCTTTGGACCGGGCTGGGCCCCTCCCGGAGAAGGGAGTCCTTCAGACTAATGTCTAAGGTATCTATCTATTGAGGGAAGCTTGGACGAGGGAAGGTGAAAGGGGGGGGTGGGGGAGGAAGAACGGATTGGGGAAAAGATTGGAGATGTTCCGAACTAGCGGGAAATCTTTGCTGGTCACATGCGGGCACGGTGTCCAGCTTCGACAGCCAAATCATCGCCCAGACTCATCCACTGCCGGAGCTGCCGAGGCATTGATTGGTGGGACAATGCTGATTGACGCCGCGACGCCGTCATCGTGACCCGCCCCCATTCTCCCTCCAATTCCCTTCCCGGATTCTGTCTGTCGCAAAAGAGGCAGAGCTCATGACGCACTGCTGCTACCAACCTACCTACTAACCTACTCCAGCTATTACTGCTTTCTGGTCGGAGAAAAAAAAAGGATTAGGTGGACAGACCGGAAGGTTAGCCGGCTATTGAGAGCTGATCATTCACACTGACACGGGTACACTTTCAAGTACGGAGTACCGTAGTGCGCCCTATCCTTCATTCCTCCCTCTCCAACATAATTGCTATAGTACTAAAGTGGACCAGTGGCCCGGCATTCGGATTGTTCTTAAACATTTTTCTGTATCATTCTCTTCCTCCTCTTCATCCTGTCTCTCCTCTTCCTTTTCTCCTCCTCTTCCCATCCCTCTCGTCTTCCTTTCCCTCCCCACCCAAACCCCTCCCATCTCCCCTTCCTCTCCTCCCAGATTCTCCCGTACCCTCCAGATACACAATTGACTCGCAATTTCCCGCCTCTTGAACCTCTTCCTTCACGAATCTTGCCCTCGAATTCTAGGTAAGTTATCATCAATTCAATGGCTTGGTTAGAATTACCAGCATGCTGCGTTTTCTCTCTCTCTCTCTCCTGAGTCTGACCGGCAAAGAGCCATTGGATAATATAGCATCTCTCTATATATATCTTATAATTAACAACAGCCATCCGCCCATTCTCCTCCCAATCAGCCGTTTAAATCCAGCACTGTCCTCGATAATAGAGCGTCAACGAGGACCTCTATAAAGTTCCAAGTGCCTAGTGTCTCATTTCACATACCATGGCCTCCCGTCATTCGCGTAAATTCCTGCGACCGCTGCTCTATACGTCACTCGCCACGGCTGCGGGTGCTGGAGTGCTCTACATTTCTTACCGCCCTCGCAATATCCCTGGTTCCGAGGCCCCTGCTGTCCCGCCCCCGGGTTATCACGAAGGCCGCCTGGTGCCGCCTAGTTTTCCCCGCATCAAATCTAGATTGGAGCAGATTGAGGATCTCAAGCGCTCTGCAAAGGGAGATGCATCAGAGGAATATGATCTGCTCGTCATTGGCGGTGGCGCCACTGGCTCGGGAATCGCTCTTGATGCTGCGACTCGAGGATTGAAGGTCGCCATCGTCGAACGCGATGATTTCAGCTCTGGAACCAGCAGTAAGAGTACAAAACTTGTACATGGTGGTGTGCGATACCTGGAAAAGGCAGTATGGGAATTGGATTATAACCAGTCAGTCGACCCAAACTACTTCCCTGCTTCCGATGAGAGATCTGACAGGTCCTTATTTTAGGTACGCGCTCGTGAGGGAAGCCTTGCGGGAGCGGAAGTACTTCCTGAACACTGCCCCTCATCTTTCCAGCTGGCTTCCGATCATGGTTCCGGTGCAGAAGTGGTGGCAAGCACCCTATTTCTGGGCAGGCACTAAATTTTACGACTTCCTGGCTGGCTCAGAAGGTATTGAGAGCTCCTACTTCCTGACCAAGAGTAAAGCCATCGATGCTTTCCCGATGCTTAGAAAGGATAACCTGATTGGCGCTATGGTCTACTACGGTATGTATCCTCCGTCACGAGGCTAGCAGCCGCTCCGCATCTTAGTATAAGCTCTAATGATTTACGTGGGTAGATGGTGCTCACAATGACTCGAGAATGAACGTTTCCCTTGCAATGACAGCTGCATTGTACGGCGCCACTGTTGTCAATCACATGCAGGTTACCGGCTTGACCAAAGACTCATCTGGCAAGTTAACCGGGGCCCGCCTCAAGGACGTAATCCAGGGCAGAAATGGCCAGAAGGAGGAAGAATTCACCATCAAAGCGAAGGGTATCATCAATGCGACCGGGCCCTTTACTGACTCAATCAGAAAGATGGACGAGCCTGATGTGAAGGAAATTGTGGCACCGAGCTCGGGTGTCCATGTCATTCTACCTGGTTACTATAGTCCGTCAGACATGGGGCTGATTGATCCTTCGACATCCGACGGCCGAGTTATCTTCTTCTTGCCTTGGCAGGGAAACACAATTGCTGGCACCACAGATCAACCCACTGAAATCACTACCCAGCCAGAGCCCTCCGAGAAAGACATCAACTGGATCCTCACGGAAGTTCGTCGGTACTTGGCCCCTGACATCAACGTTGAGCGAAGTGATGTGCTCGCCGCCTGGTCCGGCATCCGTCCTTTAGTACGCGATCCTAAGGTCAAGAGTTCCGAGGCTTTGGTTCGTAACCACCTCATCTCAGTCTCCCCATCTGGGTTGTTGACTTGCGCCGGTGGCAAATGGACCACCTATCGGCAAATGGCCGAAGAGGCAGTTGATGAGGCCGTCAACGTCTTTGGCCTGAAGCCCCGAGAAGTATCCAACGCTCCCGATATTAGCGGTGTTGGTGGAAGCGGGCTAGTCGCTGACGGCGCTGTTCTTGATGGCTCTTGTCAGACCCATCAGGTCCGTTTGATTGGTGCCCATGGCTACTCAAAGACCCTTTTCATAAACCTCATCCAACATTATGGGCTCGAGACGGATGTGGCGCAGCATTTAACACAATCATACGGTGATCGAGCTTGGCAGGTTGCGGCTTTGTCTTCGCCGACTAATGCTCGTTTCCCCGTTCGAGGCCAGCGCATCTCGACCCTCTATCCTTTCATCGATGGCGAGGTTCGCTATGCTGTTCGCCACGAGTACGCGCAAACTGCTGTTGATGTTCTCGCACGCCGAACCCGCCTAGCATTCCTCAATGCCGAAGCAGCGCTTGAAGCCCTTCCTAGTGTCATTGATCTGATGGGAGAAGAGTTGAACTGGGACAGTGGCCGGAAGGACGTGGAGTGGAAGGAGAGTGTCCGCTTCTTGTCCTCGATGGGCCTCCCCAAGACCTTCCTCAGTTTGAGTAGAGCGGACGTTGAAGCCGGCAAGGTCAAACAGGTCGATATTGCGCAACGAGCAGCGTTTGCTAGGACAGGTAAGTGGCCGAAAACACTGATAATGGCGAGACTGGGGGGCTAATGTGTTCTTTCTGTGCAGATCCACCAGCGGATGTGCTTGCCAACGACACCCGTTCATCTGACTCCAACAAACTGATCCAACCTGATTCCCCGGCCAACAAATAGAGCAGTCACGCGCCATAGAGCTATTTTGTATAAATCATTGGAAGTGTATACTTGGCACGTCATGTCATCTGGATATCCGACAATGTCGTCTAGATTGTCCCTTCTGGAAAAATTTCAAGCCCTGGGTTTGTGTGTTTAGACTTATCAGCATATGGAGGTGGGTTTTCCTTTATGGTGTAGATGGCATGTAGGTGTTGGACCTTCATCTAATGTGTAACGAATATTCCTTCTCTCTGCTCATGGCGAGGATGCAACAATGTGCAATGCCCGCGACGAAATGGAAGGGAGCAAGAAGACAATCAACTTCAGGACAGATCAATCGTCGCCTGTACGTCGTGCACTGGCATCATGTCGCCTGCACCTACAGCCTAGTGACGTCTGCTTACCCTTTGCCGATGAGCTTGTCCACTGCTTGAAGGGTGGAAAATCGGGCTGGCTTGCAGAAATGGTCTTTGAGGGCACAACGTGCTCTCTGGAAAGCCAATTGAATGCCGCAGGCCTGGCCTCTGTTGCTGTTACCTTATTCATGTTAACCGTAAGCCGTCGAAGCAGGGAGGGGCCTTGTGGTACCGAATTTATTCTTCCCCGCCTTCCGATGCGAAGATGTGGGCGGAGGAATGCACGCACCATGTTTATGGATTGTAGCCTCCATAATGACACCATGGGCACATACTGCAGTAATTTTGGTCTCGCTTGAGATGAAACATAAGGGACATCCGTGCATCACTCGTATGTATTCCGCGATTTGTGCATATAGGTTCCCCATACGGAACAGTGATCTGGAGAATGATACGATCGAGCCTAAAGTATAACAGACTTCTCAGATAATCAGTCCTTCGTGTCCCCTGCCTGTGACCAAGAATATATTGAAATATGTAGAACATAACTCTGGTTTATATGACACCAAGTATGCAGCGTAATAAAGTACAGCAAGAGCGGTACCAGCCATAATTAGAAAATACATCGATTGTCCTGAGATAATCGGGAAAGGGAAAGGGGAAGAAGAGAACATGATTATTATGTCAAAACAGGTGCATAAAAATGTATAAATCGATGTCATGTTTCAAGGTGTGCGCAGCACACTATAAAAAAGGGAACCCCACAACCCGCGGGGCCGCGCAACAAGGGAGAAGTAAGACCCGAAGATTTCTAATCGATGATCGAGAACACGGAGCGATGGATTTCGAGCGCCCGGAGGTGAGAAAGAGCATATCCGAGCACCCGAAACAAGTCTCCGCGACCAAGGTCATACATGCAGGTAGAGAAGGAGGCGCTCGGTTTGGGTGCAAGCCAGACCAGCTATACCCGAGAACCGGCTTGCCCGCACTCATGTTGGTTGGAGACTCCGCTCAATAAATGTGAGTGAATGTCGGGTAACGCGAACTCGGCGTCCGCCGGGGTGGCTTCGAGAAGTCACCATCCGTCCCCTCGCTTCGTTTTCATGTTCGCTCGAGGGTCAAGGGACAATGACACCGGATAGAGGGCTCTCCCGTAAGCCATTTGGCTGGTTTCCCATCGAGTTCTTTTTCTTCAAATTTCCTTCCCTGACCACTGGAGTTTCATTGCCGGAGGGCTGTGGGTGAAGTAACAACCCTCGAAGTCCTATTCGGATGTTCGAGACCTGGGCTTGTTTGAGGTCCTCTTGTCCAAAAGCGTCCGATTCTGAATGTATCGATCATGCCACCCTTAATTGGGCGGGGAGAATCGATTGCGATGCATCCTCGGTAAGAATACGGTTGCAGCCGGTAAGAGACCAAAGTCAAAAGAGAACACAATGCGCAACACATTTATGTCTTGCTTTCTGCCGCGTTTGGGTCGCCCTTATAATGATCCCAGAACCGTGCGACGGTCCGTTGTGCGACGTTGTTGCCCTTGTACCGATATATGAAGTAGTTGAATAGGGCAAACTCGTCGCGATCGAGTACATAATCCTTCTGCGTGTTTATCTTGTCCCATAAGCTTGCAATGGCTGCCTCCAGGGTATCATTCGTTGCCTTATCGGTATGACCGTCCCGGCCACGCTCCAGGGCCTGCCGCACCTCAGAAGACGACGCTGAAACCGCCATTGGCAACTGAGGAGAGAAATGCTCCTATTTCAAGACAGTTGTTCGGCTCGAAAACACTGGGAGAAGGGAGAATAAAGATAGCGAAAGTGGATGTGAGTGGTGCAGGCTCGGAGCATGAGCGGCGCGCAAATTGAATTTGGAGGGAGACAGGGAATAGAAATAAGTTCTTGGGCCCTTGAACGACAGAGAAGGGAAAATTTTTTTCTGGACGGACACGACTGTCTTTGGCAAGCTCCGACCCTCTCAATTTAACAAAGCAGGTGGAGCAGGGGGGTGTGGGAGGGGGGAGGGGGGGGGGGGGGGGGGGGGGGGGGGGGGGGGGGGGGGGGGTGTTGGAGGGGGTAGAGAGGAGAAGGGGGGAAATTGGCTTGTCCAAACGGTGGGCAATCGTGGATCGAATCTCTTACAAGGCCATAATGGTGGTGGTAAGTAGTGTATTTTAGCAGTACTCGACAATCTGAATGTAGTAGCCGTAGTAGGTAGGGTAAATAGAAAAGAAATAATCAGGATAGTTGAAATTACATTGTGATTAACCCAAAGACTATTATTTATTCCGTAGGTATCAATCGACTGACTTTCGACCGGAAAACTGTATACTACATACACACAGGCTTCTTCCGATAAAGATACGGGCATGCATAGGAATAAGTACTCCTAATAATAGGATCCATCGAGGTACTTCCTTGTACTTAGTTGGCAACCGTTCAGTGGCCCTCCATTCTCTTGCCTCCCGGCTGGTTTACCCTCTTTCTTTTTATAATGTATGAGGGCAAGCATTGTTCATGATCCTTTGTCTGCTGCACCTAGTCTAGACTGCATATCGGCTGTATGATGATGATGGGGTTAGAGCATTCGGAGATTACAGATGGAGAAGCAGTGGGGGTTTCTCTCCCTCCCTGGTCTATCTTTTGATTAGAGTTCCTTGACCGTTGCAAAAGAGGCGTTGGAACCACTTTGTGCTTTACTTTACTGCTAGCCGTTGACGATGCTAACTAACCAACTAACTACTACGTACTGGATGGATGCACTGCATCACAGGCATTTATTCTGCCTTAACCCTTTCGGGCCCTGAATCAGGTTCTTAGAATTTTCATCACCCATGTTAAAACTGGAAGGGTGGAAAAAAAAGCTAGTCCTTGTCTTGCCTTTCTGTCTTTCTTTCTTTCTTTCCCCTTCTTTCTTTCTGTTTTTCTTTTTCTTGTACTTTTAATTTTTTTTTCCCCTTTTGTTGTCTGGCCATGTGGCAGGTGGGGTTTCGTACGGGCTCACCCGCTGTAGCAGCATCGAGACCTAACCCTTGGCGTAACGGTTTTCTCCCCTTGGGTTTATTCTCGAGTTGGGAAAGGCGTCCGGTCAGATGTGGAACTCGACGGTACAGTGGATAGGGTTGCGAACTTTGTGAACCTGGCCGAAACAAGCCGCGTAGATGGTTGTGGTCGGGTTATCTAGTTGGTTCATACTCTGTAGTGGTTACGTTACGGTCTCACGAGTCACGATTCATCAACACCACCACCACCGATCGGTGGACGTCCGGTAACTACGGGTAATCCGCCTAGGCACAGCCGGCGCTTGCACAAAATGAGTAACTCCAGGTGGTTCCGCCCACGGTTGTTAACCTGGTTTGTTCTTACAAACTTCTTGCTAATTTCTCTGGCCGGTGGATTCGGCCGGAAAAAGGTGACCTGATCAGGGCAATCAATAAAGTAAACTAAATCAAAAGAAGAAACTACTCAAGTAGAAAAGATAGCTATTTTCAATGCCCGAAGCACCCGGGTTGGTCCATCAGGAAACCGAGGAAAACTTTATCGGAGGACGAACTAACTACGTAACTAACGTTGTCAACACAGAGGGTTGAACAACCTGATGATGAACCGGGAGAGGGAGGGGAAGAAGAGCGAGTCCCTTCATCATTCACCATGCTGCTTGCTTCTAGTACTTCACTTTATTGGCATACTCTCAATCGTTTGTGAACTACCACAATATGTACTCCGTACACGACTTAGGTGTGGTATTTGGATCATGAAACGGTCCTTTTTAGAGCCTCTCACAAAGCGAGTTGATTTTCGATATGCGCTCGGGATAATTCGAGGAATAGCCCGCCCAGTGAAGGGAGACTGCTCCCGGGCGGCTCGGAGCTTCTAGGGTCGATGAGTATTGAGTGCTCGTACTAGTGAGTAGATTCTTTGCCTTCTGAATCAGGACTGTATAGTGTAAATTACAACTCGCCCACAGACCCGCCCGGTCCGGTGCATGAAAATAAGTGGGGATCGAGCAGTTTCCTGCGAGGCAATTTGGTTGGCGGCAGGCGGGTGTTCTGGTGAAAATGACTCGCATTGCCATCGCATCCATGCCGCAATGGCGATTGGCGACCAATCACCCTTACATGGCTGGCAAGCAAAGCTGTATCGAGCGCATCGATAATGCTGCCGGTAGTCAAGCAGCAGCCGCAGCCGCAGCAGCACCTTAACTACAGTAGTCAAGTCTCATCTTTTGAACATAGTAGCTGCTTTCCAAGAAGGGAATTGGGCAGGACTGACTGACTTTCCCCTATTCATGTTTGTTTCATCTCGCTAAAATGAAAAAGGTAGGCACCGACGGTCAGTTGTGGGCGGGCAAAGTTTAATCTGCGCCGACAGACAACAAACAAACCTGCAAGTACTCGTGGATGTAATCGGCAGCAACCTAGTAGTACTAAACTAAGTACCTAGTCTGTACTTACAAACGTAAGTACGTAAGTATGCATGTACTGTAAAGTATATAGTGGCCACTCTGACCAGGGGTCTTCCTGCATTCCAACTTCCAAGCGACCGTCGTACCGGCCGATTACGGGCCTCAAAACTCTGGCAGTTTGCTGTCGGTATGGTTCATGGCTGATGGCTTCAACGGTCTTGCATAGTTAGCTCGGGAAAGGGTGCACGACATGATATTGATGCTGGCTAAACAAACGAAGTAAGGTAGACATTCTAGTGACAGCCCTTAGGCCTACTTGACGCGCTTCTTACCTTCGTTCTAGGTCGCTGATTGATTGATTTACCCATGTCTTCTGCAGCTGAGGCCGTTTGCCCTGTTGTGAATTGTATCACTTAATTCCAACTTCCTAGTGTGTATGCAAGTACTCCGTACTTCCTGGCAGTTTGTACAGCCTTCTCTTTTCTTGCCAAGATATAGGTTAGAACACGTCGCTGCCCGTATAATCGACCCCCCCCAAAATGGACTCAACTAATTGGCCGTCGAGGTACAATAACAGCAGTTTGGTGGTCAATTGACGTGCAACTGCACTTGCGTAAGGAACCATTTTTGAAGTTAAGATTTGGTAGTCAGTCAGCCTGCGTCCTCTTAACACAGTCACGATGCTACTGTCTCTTGACGCAAGCTTCCAGCCTTTACTTAGCCAGTATCATCGAGCCCCAAAGATTGTATGACGAATATTGTGGTCGTGTTGGCTCCGGTAGCCCCACGGAAGTCTTGCGACGAAGTTTGATTAAACACTCTGCCATTGGACGGTAACTTCAAGACATGCTAGGTTGATTCAGGAGGTAGCCAGACCCCAGTCAATTGTTGCCTTCAATAGACAGGACAGTGCATCAAGCACCATTCAATTCCCCCGTACAATCAATTGGAGCCAACCTGATCACAGAAAGTTTATTGACCTTCCTTTCTCTATGCCTTCTGAAGAACATTATAACCATACAGATAGTCAAGCTTGTGAATCTGTGAATGAGAAATCGCATATAGGCGGCGGCAGCTTATGCTTCATTTCCTCGTGACTCATTCAGGCATTCGTCCAACATGCTCGAGTAACTGATCAATCATAACTTAGTTCGTTAAGCAAGTTAGCAAGTTAGTAAGTAGTAAGTTAGCCATTTACTCGAGTATTACTGAGTAGTTAGAAAAAAAAAGATGACTAATCACATGTTCTGTCAACTAACTACTTCATTAGTTCCGAGTCGGTGATTGTCCCCGGAATTCTTTCGCCCCGCTATCTCCTTGCAGCAGCGACAGCTCCAGTCTGCTTCTTAGTTCCAAAATCCGGTGAACTGTCTGGCAGAATGGTTTACTATTTCACATCAGATGTGGTTCAACCCGCAGCCTTTATCTATGTTGGAAAGGATAAATTCGAAAGTATGATGGTTTTCCTTTATTCAACAGATTGTGCTGTGCCGAGACTCTAATATTTGACTTGAACAGATGAGGACCTTATTAAATTTGGATTAGAGAGTGATGTCTGGTAATCTGACCTTGTGCTGTGATTATAAGAGAATGTGCACCAAGTGAGCTAATATCTTTTTGCGTCTCGGCTAGGGTTTGTCTCTCTTCGTCGCGCAGCAACCTAGCATCCGAAGACACCCTAACTCAGTCATTAGTTCCATGTGGATAACCTGTCTAGTGCCCATGTGTACCTTCGCCTCCGTGATGGAGAAACATGGGATCGGATTCCGCAGGCGCTTCTCGAAGATTGTGCCCAGCTAACGAAGGCGAATTCAATCGAAGGTCAGACATATTTCGTCAGGAACGGATACCGATGAGAATCCGCAAGCCAATAAGCGGTGGAGACTAAACAACCTTATAGGGAATAAGAAGGACAACATCACAGTGATCTATACACCGTGGTCAAATTTGATGAAGGATGGATCCATGGCAGCTGGCCAAGTCTCTTTCCATAACCACAAACTGGTGCGCAAGGTTTTTGTCCGACAGCGAGAAAACCCTATCGTCAATCGCCTGAACAAAACCCGCATTGAAAAGTTCCCTGATCTTAAAGCCGAGAAAGATGAGTTCTTGAAAAAGAAGAACAAGGAGGAACGCAAAGTGAGAGAGGAGCAACGCATAAAGGAGAAATTGGAAAGAAGGGAACGCGACCAGTTGAAATGGCAAAAGGAGCATGCTTACGATGACCTCATGAGCGAGGAGAATATTCAAGGCAGCAGTAACCAAGACCGGGACGCTGACTTTTATGACGACTTCATGTGAAGCAGAAGGCATACAGTGGATTGTCATGTTGTCTCTCCAATGGCCGTCGTCGGCTTGTCGCATGCTATACTATCGACGAAAAAACATAACTCAGTACTTATCACGAAGCATCCATTTGAAGTGCAACAACGGAAGTTGGTTACTGGGCCTTGTTCCGTGGTCGCGAAACTCCACATCAAATGGTTAGGAAGCGCATAGCCCAGAGCACGCATATTAACTCGTGTCTCAACTCGACCTGTTCCAGTGCCGGGGAGCTGGCTCTGAGAGTGGCTGGGAGCCGGCCACTGGCATATAGCCTGTCGCTATCCCACAACACAGCGCAGCAGATATGAAGTCCACCTAAAGGGTCATCCTAGCGTGCTTATAAGCTGTGCATTGCATGTGAACTTAGTAGAATAAACTAGGCAGAATATTGAATTGAGTCTGAATACACAGGTGATGCAGCATACAAAGAGAGTGAAACTCCTTTTTAGCCCCTTCGCGGTGCCGGCTCATACTGTTGGGTGTGGTAATTCGGCGTAACTAAGCGAGAGCTGCGGACTGCGGAAGCAGCCTCCCTGCGCTAGCGATGTTGACAGCTATGGTCGGTTTCTCACCATAGTACTCCTGTACAACAAGTTCAATGACCATAACACCAGCTTCGATATAACCGCGCCTCAGTCACGTCGGTACTCAAAAAAGTGAAGATGCCTGAAGGTTCGTCTTCAATTGTGCAGATTCGTAATTCTTCTAGCTTATCCCGTTGTTTCCGCTGATACTTCCCAACAGGCGCAAAGTCAAAGAATAAGAAGAAAGCCAAGGGCACCACCGGCCCCAGGGGGATTGAGAGCAAGACCTCAAACGAAAACCAAGGCAATGATCAGGACCGAGCCCCGGAGGACACTGAGGCACCCGCGCAACCGAGCGTAAGGGCACCCCCGTTTACCCCTTCACACCGAATGCCCACCTGAGCTGATTATGTGACGGAACAGGAGAGCGACAACAATAAGGTTGATACCACCGAGGGTTCAGCGGCTAAAGAGAGCGCGAAGAGAGACAAACCAACCGGAGATTCACCGACTGAGACGACTGACGATCGGACATTTATTGCGACCAGCCATCCGACTAACCCTACAGGCCATGGGAGCAATCCCACCAGCTCCGAGGCTCTCCAGTCCAACGACCGGTTTGACGCCCTCGTTCGGGATCGGGATACCTTGCGGGCGGAAGTGGCAGACATGCGCAAGTCATTGGAGGAAATCCAGTCGAAACACCACGCGGAGATGAAAGCTCTACAGGGGAGGCTAGATGACGCCGAAAACAAGAAAGAACATGCAGAGTCGCAGTTCCAGAAACTCCTGGAAAGAGTGAATACAATCAAGTCTCAACTTGGCGAGAGATTGAGGGAAGATGCTGTATGTCTTCGGCACTTGCATTCCTATGCTATCCCCAAGCATACTAACTCATAACAGGAAGAGCTTGCACAGGCTAGATCGAAAATTGATGAATTGGAGGAGGAAAACACAAGCATCAAGGATCAATACCAAGCGAAGTGTGGCGAGCTCGAGCAGTTGTCGGAAGACAGAAGGAACATGTCACAGGAGCTTTCGACCTTGCGAGATCGTACAAATCTGTCCCAGCAAAATTGGTTGAAAGAGAAGGAGGAGCTCCTAGAACAAGAGAACTATCTTCAGTCAGAGTTCGAGCAAGCCAAGGAGGCCATGCACAACTGGGAAGTCCTTGCTATGGAGGAGCGGTCCATTAGGGAAACCCTTGAAGTGAAGGTGGTAGATCTCGAGGAACAGCTAGCAAGCGTCAAAGATGCCTACGAGAAAGCATCTACGGAACGTGACTCTCAAGTGGCTGCAATTGACGGACTACAGCGAGCTTTGCAGGAAATCCAAACCGGTGAGAATAGCCCCTATCTCTAACATGCTTCTCCTGAATTACCACCAATGTTTTGTAGCGCGCAAACAGGAACTTCGTGAGCTCGTGGAGAACTCCGACGCCCAGCTTGAGGAGCTGAAGCAGAGTCTTCAAGAGGCAACGAAGAAAGCCCTCGACGCCGAGAAATCTCTTCAAGATGCTCAGGGCGAGCTCGAACGAGTTCGGCCATTCGAGAAGGAAGTCAAAGAAAAGAACCTCTTGATAGGGAAGCTCAGGCACGAAGCGGTGACACTCAACGACCATCTGACGAAAGCTCTGCGCTTCCTCAAGAAAGGGAAGCCGGAAGACAACGTCGACAGGTGCGTTTTCTGCGCTATGACTGTGGTCCTTGGCTGGCCGTATGAAGGATTGCCTGTTGATTAACTATTCCTAGACATATCGTAACGAATCACCTCCTGCATTTTCTTGCTCTTGATCGGTCAGATCCCAAGAAGTTCCAGATCTTGCAACTCATTGCCGCGCTCCTCGGCTGGACAGATGGTTAGTCAACCATTCTTCTTTTGTGATCTTACCATACTCGTGGTCACTAACGAATTGAATAGAGCAGCGTGAGCAGGCTGGTCTGGCGCGTCCAGGAACATCGAGCATTTCTGGGAAGTTGAGACTTCCAAGCACACCCATGCATCGTACGCCAAGCAGCCAAACCTTGGCCTCGGAATTTCTTGACAATGGAACCGCGAGCAAAGAATCATTGGCGGAGTTGTGGTCCAACTTCTTGGAGCAGGAGTCACAGAATGTGGAAATGGCACATCCAAAGCCGTGAGGCTAGTTCCGCATTCATTCGAGACCAACAGTCTGTGGCCTTTCGGATTGAATTACTACTTCTGTGAATAACATCTGAGCCTCTACTCGCATTCCTCCTCTTGCTGTAATTGTATGCGTGATAGTATGAGATAAGCTATGTCATGAGGCTGTCCGTTTGCGACATACGGCACATGCGCCTTCGATTCACCGCCTCATATTCTGCCGCATCTATTTTGTTGAAGTGTCAATTCAACGCCGACCAGAGTCTTGCATACCATGAATAGCTTAGCAACACCACGAGTACAACTTTTCTCAAAGTATAATCATTTCTCACGGAGATACCCCTATTGCATCTCAAGAATGGCTTCTAGCGCCGGTGAGCTTCTCCTTTCTCACAAGGGCGAGTGGAATCTTAATTGACCGCGCGCGCAGTGCACAAATTCCGCCCAGTTGTGGTCTCAGGACCGTCAGGAACCGGGAAGTCGACTCTCCTGAAGAGGCTCTTTGCCGACTATCCGAACACCTTCGGCTTCTCAATCTCGCGTATGTCCTTCGGTGCCCCCTCCCGGCTCTTACCCAGCCGCTGTAAGATTGTGGCCGGACATTCCCCCGCAACCACGCACCCACACACTCTCCAAACCGCAAAGGCATAGATTTCTGAAGGCATGCCTCCTTAGATACCACGCGGAGCCCTCGTGCGGGTGAGCAAGACGGTCGCGAATACTATTTCACGACAAAGGAAGACTTTCTCGACTTGGTCAGCAAGAACGGCTTCATTGAACATGCGCAATTTGGAGGCAATTACTATGGTACTAGTGTCCAAGCTGTGAAGAACATCGCCGAGCAGGGTAGAATTTGCATTCTTGATATCGAGATGGAAGTATGTTGCTGCTTCTTCTGTTCATCTGATTGTGTTCACTTCAGAGAATGCCTCGCTAACAGCTCATTTTCCTTTTAACTCCAGGGTGTGAAGCAGGTTAAGCGTACGGATCTCAATGCGCGCTTTTTGTTCCTGGCCCCTCCCTCGGTGGAGGAGCTGGAGAGGAGACTGCGTGGAAGAAACACTGAGACAGAAGAAAGCTTGAAGAAACGTCTTGCGCAGGCTAAAAATGAGCTCGAATACGCCAAGGAGCCGGGTGCTCATGATAGAGTCGTCGTCAATGATGACCTTGAGAAAGCTTATGCTGAGTTGAGGGACTTCATTGTCGACGGTGATAAATTCGGCGCCCAGCAATAGTGCGAGACCCTCATTTACGCTGTATCTTATAGACGCACATAACGACTTCAATACTTATCTGCTCATTGTTATTAATTTAGCTCAGAACCACCGGAATTTTTACATTGCCTTCCGACCTTCTGCATGAAGCGATCCTACAATCATTCGTCTCACTGGAGCCAAGATAAATAGATACATGAAACGACGATACGATCGATGTTTAGCGCTTCGTTGCTAGCTTTCAGTTGATCTGCGACGAAAAGTCCATAGAAAATCACGAGGTAGTTATGCCACTTCCTCACAAATAGAATTGTTCAAGTGACGACGGGTACGATCAAGGAATTATAAAGTTAAACAGGATATCTGTAGAAGCATGCCGAGACGAAGTTGGTGCTATGAGATTAAAACATTAAGGAAAGAAAAGGAAGAAAGTTACCCTAATTGGGCTCACTGCCCATGTTTCATCCACGCAAAGAAGCAAGGGCAAGCGAAATGCTCAGACATATCAATAGCCATTCATGGTCATGCGTTGCGAGTTACGGCTAAGCTCCCTGTCGGCCGAAGGACTAATGGGCCGGCTGCTACCAGGATGGCCGCCAGCAGCACTGCTCTCCTTGAGTGCCAGAAGTTGCTTAGCACGGAATGTCTCGTAGTGAATCTGGCTTGTCGTCTCGATAAGGTCCTGAAGATGGGTGCGGGTAAGGAAGTTTCGGAGATAGACGAATTCGCAGTGATTCTCATCCTCCACGTTGATGACACCCCAGCGGTTTTGGCGGCCGCGAACTTGCTGGCCATTGACGACGATCGTTCTTTCGCTACCAACTACAGCGAATGGAATGATGTCCTACACGGACATTAGAACGGGAGGCGCCATGAGACCCGAGGCGGTTACTGACCTTGATTTGAGCATTGACTGCACGCTCTTCGTCATCAAGCTCATCGTTGTCATAGGGGTACATTTTCAGATTGTGGAAGGCGAACTCCTCCTTAATTCTTTCCTTGAATGCCTGGCGTTCCTCGAGAGTAAGCGAGTCGGCTTTAGCGATGACGGGAACCACGTTGACCACGTCAGAGAGCTTCTTTAGGACGACAATGTCGATGGGCTTGAGACTAGTTGGTACTCCATCAGTTTCTGTAAGATCAAGCCTAAGGTCACTATACTCACGCATGGCCAGATGGCTGGATGAAGAACAAGCAGCAGTGGATGCGGGTGTCTTGAATATAGCGGTCACGTTGAGCAGTAAGCTCCTTTCGGAGATATGCGGAGTGTTGATCCTTGATGTACTTCACAATAGGATCCCAGCTGATCACAATATTTGTTAGTTCGGCTTTCGTGGCTGAAATTTCTCGGTTGCTTTACCATCTGTCATTGTTGACCTGATCGCCGTAGCCCGGGGTGTCGACGATGTTTAGCCTGAGACGCACGCCATTCTCCTCAATGACTTGGGAAACCGATCATTAGTCTTATGGTCGGGCTTATTAGCGAAAAGTGAGGAACATACTGTGCGAGACAGTTTGGATTTCGGTTGTTGAACGAACGGGTTCGTTAGGGGCCAGGCGACC